TCAATCTTTAATAATAATAAATTATTATTTTCCTTTCGTTATTGAAAAATAGTATTTGCTTATTTTATTAAAATTACTTAACGTAGATGTTATCAAATTTATATGGAAGTCATCTTTTTAGGGCATTTTCACGACTTTTCTGCGATTATCCCACGATTTTCCCACGACTTATTTGAGGACTGTTTATTCTTTAATTATTAATTATACACGTTACCTTATTTCTTATACATCCATGTCCCAATCTGGATCATTGGGATCTTCTGATTCATTATCGTTATCTTTATAATCTTCCTTATCAAGCTCATCATGATTTGCATTTTCTGTAACCTCATCCCTATCCAGATCTGTTTCCATACATTATTGAAACTGCTCTCTTTCCACTGTAATACATTATCCAGCTCTTCGTAGCATGTGAAGCGTTACTCAATGGATTTCCTTCGGTTATGCGTTTTTTGTCAATTCTTCTACACATCGCGAGGACTCATCAGCTGTAGCGGATGCACCGTTATGGTAAATTTCTTCTCTGCACGTTTTACATACATAAAAATCCAAGGAATTATGATTTGGAGAACGCGTTGGCCATTTTACTGTATCTCCATGACCGATTCACTCAAGGTAAGACAGTAAAAAGTATCAGAATGAGCATTCTTTTCTTCACAAAAAAATAGATCAAATAAAGTAATTACCTCTTCAAAATAATCTCGTACAGCTTGAGCGAAATGTGCTTGAGCACCATTGTGCATGAAGATGATCTGTTCTTGCTCTTCTGGTTATAGTACATCATCCAGAAGATTTGATAGATCATGCTGAAGAAACTCAAGGTACATTTCAATCAGCATTCAAATTTCCCAGCAGACAGAATGAGCCCACAATCCAGTCCAGAATGACTCCAGTCCATACATTCACGGCATAACGATGTTACGAACAGTCTAATTTTATAATAAAAATATTAGAACTGAATATTAGAATAGAATTAGAATCTAATATTATTAGAATATTAGAATTCGTTGTACAAATAAAGATTTGAGTAATATTATAATTAAAACGTACCTTCACGCACTGCGAAGGGATTGTTATGAGCCCACTCATGCTCGTTGTGCTAGTTGAACATACCAATTCGCTTAAAGGTACATTCATCGGTTTATAGAATGCGACCCAAGATGTCAGGATCTTGCGAAGCTGCGTCCATTAACCACTGGCTATATCTCAGTCATTCTGGCCGATCACCGGATTCTATTGAAAATAAAGCATTTCTATAACTATTTAAAACTAAAACATGCTCAAAAAAGTCAATTTTGATATCACGTTAAAATTAATTTAATGCCATCATAAAAATAAAAATTTATAAACTTACCTAGTGCGTGTACTTGCAGAATATGAAAGGCATATTGATCGGCATTTTTCATAACGCATTGAACTATGTTATAAGGACACCTCCTACTTGTCGCCTCTCTAATTTGACGCGAAATCGATGACAGGATATCTGATGGGTTGGCGGCAAAGTTGCGACGATAGGCTCATGAAGGTAATCACGTTTTCGTGGTCAGACTCCATCGGGATTCCTGACTGTAACGCTACCTGTTTCTCTTAATGTGCATACGGCAGCTTTGATGGCCCAACCATTAGGATGGTGAGACGAATGACGATCAGCATATTTGTGAGCAGCAGTGTTAGCGTTGCTCTCATCCCAGCCCATACATAACACCACATTAGTGTACTCTTCCCTGGAATGAATAATTCACCTAGCTATTTTTTTTCCACATCGAAGAATACCGTGTCGAAACGACGTTTCTAAATATGGACGACTAACCCCATCAATATTTACTAACCAATGATTAGTAAGAAAAAGAATGTTACTACAATATTTGATCATTGGAAATTATCATTGTAAATGTAAATACTGTTTAATATTCAAGTCATTTTGTCGAAACAAAACTAGTAAATTCACATTATCTCGAATGAGATGCTTTGGAATTCAAGCGTACGATTGACAGAAATAGAAACTATCTATTTTTTTCTGTCTCCTTATAGAAGAATTCTCTCACGTTATCCTGCTTTTCAACGACTATATCGTTAAAAATCATGATGAAATTTGGATGAGGTTTATCTGGTGAAACAACTGTCTCATGCTCGCTGAATGCATGATACTATATACTATCAATCCGTTCTACTGAATCTTTTAAAAGTTTATAATTTGGTTGATTAAGAGACTTTGTATGAACATAAACTTTTTCAAATTTAAGTCCCACAGTTACTAGATCTGTAGAAAACTGCTCGTATACTGTCAGGTTGTAGTTTACCATGTTTTTTTCTTGTTTTTTCGTCTCCAACACATAATCAAAATTTATGACTTGCAACTCAAGCAGTTGCTTTTTAAAGTTCATATTGTTTATAAGTCACGCATCAAACAATGAATGAATCTACTAACTATAAAATACAGCTTATATATTTTTAATTTCATTAAAATTTTGTCTTCTAAAGAGGTATGGGCATTCGTCGTGAAAAAAAGACTGGTAGTGGCTTAGTCAATAAGACCCATCAATAACTTGCCATTCGAAGTTCATTTGTCTGGTTATCAGTATTACGGACCGGGAATTAAATTGAAAAAATGACTTGCTCGAGATGATCCTGGATAAAATCCGCTAGATGCTCCTTGTAAAGATCACAATATAGCTCATTTTCAGAATCGAGAGAATATTGACTCGAGAAATGAAGCCTATAAAATTCTAGCTAAACAGGCTTGGAGTGATAGATAGTAGTTTTGGTAAGATAGTTGCTCCGTTTGCTCTAGCCAACGCAATAAAAATTAAAAATAACCTTGGTGTGGGGGTTAAAAGTGCAAAACGACAAATGAAACGAGGTAAGCGACTCAAAAATCGTCAACAATGAGAAAAGAAGAATGTAAAAAGTAAAAATCTATCAATTTCAATGACAAAAAATTATTAACGCTGCCTCGAGAAATGTTGTGCCTAGTAGCAGATCACTCTTCGTTATTCGTTCGGCTATAAAAGGCACTAAAGAAGTTATGAGTTATGACTTGGAGGTTGTGATGTTCGTATCACTTATTATTTATTTTATAGTTCGTACTCTTGTGGTTTGTCGCGTTAATGAGTAAGAATTCGTTTCTTTCAATCTAATTCTAATTATTAATATGAAATAAAGCAATAAATAGTATATAAGTGAAATTTCAAGGAAAAGACAGACTTTAAGCTATTTACTTACAGTGTAAATTGTCCCATTAGCAGAGCTAAAGTCTTCCTGTTTTACAATATAATAAACAAATTAACTTTGCATAATAAAATTTAATATAATTTAATAATTAAACGCAATTAAAATTATTCTAATCTAAATCTATATTCTAAAATCTATATAAAAAATGCTTTGTTTCATCAAAATTACTCTTAATTAACATATTTTAATCAAATAACAAAAACTATTATACGATATCTATATCTATAAGTATGTGACGTCACGCTCCTTATATGGTCATGAAATTTGACTATGGTACTAAGACAATCAAATAATATCTGAGGTGGTGCCGTTTAATATACTAATTGATGTAAACAGATTAATGAGTTCAGCGGGTTGCAGTGATTCAGTGAGTTAAGAAAATAGCTCATAGATAGGACCGTCACAAGGTAGAAAAACAAATATGCCTCGCTTTCTACCTATTCCTAATAAAGTAAGTGGAGCTCTTCTTTTTGCTGCTTTAATCGACACTGGAGCTCTAGTTGGAGAAGTTGCTTCAATAGCAAAAGCCATTAACAGTGCTAAAACTGCTCAAAATGAATTTCAAGAGGCTCATGGACACAATAGAACTATTGATAATGATTTTTATTTTAAACCGCATCGTAAAGATTATGGTCTTCACCTCAAGCCATATGCAAGTGGAAAAGGTTTAAAAGAAAAAATAAAGCTCGAAGTAGTTTTATTCAATCGAGCATTAATCAAAACATTAAAAGTATGCTCAAATACTAAAAATTGCAAATTTTCGAGGTATTTTCATGAGTAATGCTCTACCAATCGATGGACCATAAAAGAATGGTATTATACTATTGATTTGTTTGGAAGTATAGCCCTTCCCGCCCCACCATCCTGATCGTCGGACCATCGAAACAACCTTATGAAGATTCAAAAAGAAATGGGCAGCATTGTGGTCAGAATTCCCGATGGAGCTCGACAATGAGAACGCGATCCTCTTGATGACCCTATAGTCCCAGCTTTCGAGCGGTCCTGTCGGTAACGTACGAATAGAATACTCTCGATTCTGCATTCTGTACATTTCAGCCACGCGTGTACTTACGTCACATGCAGCAATTACACGTGAATTTATTCATACTTATTGCAATTAATTTTTTTTAAAATTAATATTCATATTATTATAACACAAGTGTGTATGTGGATACGCACGTATCTGTACCCGTAAGAGATTACTTTGAGTGTAATAGCAATGCACGTGATTACATATGTATTTTGTACGTTATACCTATTACAACTACTCGTCTAGTTTAATTGACATTTTGTAAGTTGCAACGTATGTGAATAATTGAGTACACAAAAACTGCAAACATAATTGCAATAACTATACAGGTAATTGCACTTTTACATCTCAATCAATTTTTTAAAATTGATATTTATCTTATACATTCAAGTGTGTACGTGCATATGTGTCCATGTCATCAGTAATATTATCAATATAACAATCTACGTATCTTATAAAAAAACAAAACCAGAGTAAAACAAAGAAGAGATAAATATGGAAGGGTTCAGAGATCAACAAGCATCGCAATATGAAAACTCGACATCTTGTTATTGAGATAAAAATTTAGGAAGAACTTTCGCGATTGCCACAAGTGAATTTAATTAATGAATTAAATATACTGTCCACAACTAGGAAATACCATAACAATAGCACATGTAAAATTATTTATATTCAAAATTAATAGCAATGTAAATTGAGTAGTATTAAAGAACATTAAAGAATTAAATTAATAACTTACTCTATCGTCTGCTGCAAGACTTCTTAGTTTCATCCTTAATAAAAATCGTAAAAAGTTCGAAGTACCAAAAGTTTGCACATCCAAGACACGGCATAATGCAATTAGTTGTTGTCGAGAAAGAGAATCTAAAGTTATTTCATCTTCAAATAGCTTACTAAATTTCATAATTTCCTCATTTGTAGCTACTGTACCACTTGTTCTCATTTTATAAAAGAATTCAGCAAATTCTTTTGCTTTTTCAGATCTATGATTTGATGACTGAACAGCCATTTCATCCAGGGTTTTTTGTAAAAATTTTGCCATTTCAATTTTTACCTAAAATATGTTGATATTAATGATGAAATTATTATCAACTACTTGCAGATATATAATGAACTTTAAAAATACTTTTAGTGCTTGTTTCAACTTGTCTTCTTTTTCAGTTGCTGTTTGAAATGTGGATGGCAATAATCCAGGAAAAATTTTTATGGCTACGGGAAGTAGAAATTCCATAAATGGTACAATTATAAAGACTGAAAATGGAATGAGTCTAAACATATCACCCGTGGTTTTGACCAACTGAAAAATAAAAATATTTGTATACATAAATTTTGAAAAGATTATAGCATTTATGTCCATATCGGAAAAAACATAATGGATATTTTCTTCTTGAAACTAGAATTAAATTTCAATAGAATGTACAGAATATATATAACACTTTTTAGATGCTTCTTTTACATATCTAATGTAACAGATACAATAAACAAAAAAGAACAAATTGATTTATATGTCAGGATGATTTCAGTTCGATCTAAAGACTTTCTAATTTACATTAATTTCAAATTGTTTTTTGGTAACGCCTCAATTTAGTGTGACTAAAATAATGGACAGGAAATCGCGCATATTCTTTGTGTGGATCCTATCAGGAAACAGTATTTCTATATCTTATTCTCTCTGTATACATCAAACTACAGAGTTCCAAAAACTCAAACTTCGATCTTCCATATGGGGGCTCGATATCGTACCCACCGGAGCTCTTAATTAATTTATATTGTAACAAGGGAAGAATAAATAAATGATAATTTCCGTGGTCAATTATTGTTTTCTTTCACAAACTCCTACAGTATGAGGTTCACTTCGATCTGCAATGGAGAGATGAATTTGCTTAGCAAGTATTGAACGTTTTGTGCGCATCCGAAAAAGTGCGCGAAATTCCGATGCAAACGCTTGATTAAGTGCACTAGTTTTAATTCGGTCATGAAAAAAGTAAGGCTGGAGACGAATAAATATGAGAAAAATAATCCAGTAAATACCGCTCAGACAGTACACTTGCTATTTATTTCTCTTGGAATAAATACACAATACAATGTTTGGTTGAGAAATTTACACTCATTTGCAGTCACAAGAGCAAGAGAAAGAGAGAGAGAGAGAGAGAGAGAGAGAGAGAGAGAGAGAGACTGGTAGAGAGAGGTGGTGAGAGAAAGAGAGAGACGATGAGAGAAAGAGAGAGTTACTTAACCAGGTTAATCTCTGGACTGCCCTTAGAATAGTTTTGCGTTATGAGTACAAAATCTTGGATGGTTACAAAGATCATACCAATCGTCGCTGCAGCCTTCAAGTCCTTCTATTCTTCTTACTTCATAACAGGATACTTGCTGTTGGTGTCAACACTTTGCCAAATGAAAGCCACATACTCTTGGAATTTTTCTATCCCAATGACAAAAGGCAGAACTAATGCGTATTGCAAAGGAACAAAAGTGAAAAAGAGAAAAAAAAATATAGGCTTGAGAATTGAAATGCGCGCATATGTAGCTTCGATCTAAATACTGTCGATCTGTGCCAGTTCGCTTTCCTTCCGTGCGTCTCTCCTAATTGACTGCAAGCCTTCTCGTTGCTCCTTCGTGGTGCGGCTCTCTCCGATCCCGCATCACGGTTTTAACTTGACTAGTATGAAAAGATATAAGTTTGCTAAATATTTCCTGGGCAGAGATATCCAGGTGTATTAATTAAAATTGGTCACCCTATATAAGTTAACAGACCACTAAGAGCCGTCAAAACGTGATCTTGTCATGTCGATAGGCGATAGCGGCTTCGTAGATTACACAGGCCGACAAAATTTGACCAAACTCCAGAACCTGAGACCGGACCTAGTGTACCCGAAGTATTTTGTTGCGCTGAAAACGAATCCGAGCTCAGAATTTAGCCTATACGTCTGAGTTCCGAGATATTCTAACCTAAAAGTGCAAAAAATACCGTTTTTTGCTCATTTTGAGGTTACATAGCATCTTGAATAAATTTTTTTTTCCAAAACGAGGAAAAGCATCACAAAGGAGCACTCTTGTCCTTTGAAATCCATTTTTTAGATTCAAGATGGCTTTTTTTTTTATCGAGATATCATTGATTGAAGTTAAATATTTTCGCAGTTTTGTAACAACGTTGAAACAGCCTATGTAGCATATGTGAGGCTATAAGCCCAATTTATAAGTGATCGTATTCGATCGAAAAAATCTATATATGGGTTTTTGAGGTTGCTGTTAAAGAATATAAGGACAGATTTTGAAAATTCAAAACGGCGGATCCAATATGGCGGACCTAAAATTTTATAAGTGATCTCATTCGACCGAAAAAATGTGCACGTGGGTTTTCGGGGTTGCTGATTACGAACATATGGTCAGATTTTGAAAAATCAAAATGGCGTTTTTGGGTGTTTTGGTGTTTTTGGGTGTTTTTGGTGTTTTTGGGGTCACTGATCACGAATACGAAGTCAGATTTTGAAACTAAGGCAACCCTAAACCCTGTAACCTGCGAGGCTATAACCCCAAACCCTCTAACCCCAAGTTCCTTAACCCCCGAACCCTGTAACCTGCGAGGCTATAACCCCAAACCCTCTAACCCCAATTTTCTTAACCCCTGAACCCTGTACCCTGCGACCCAATAACCCCATGACGCTACACCCCCACTTACTCAACCCACAAACCCTGTACCCTGCGACCCAATAACCCCATGACGCTGCACCCCCACTTACTAACCCCACAAACTCTGTATCCTGCGACCGAATAACCCCAAGACGCTACACCCCCACTTACTCAACCCACAAACCCTGTACCCTGCGACTCAACAATCCATTGACGCTACCCACAAACCCTGTACCCTGAGACCCCATGACGCTACACCCCCACTTACTCAACCCACAAACCCTGTACCCTGCGACCCAATAACCCAATGACGCTACCCTCAATTACCTAACCCACAAACCCTGTACCCTGAGATCCAATAACCCCAATTACCTAACCCATAAACCCGGCGAGGCTATAACCCTATCCCGCTATATCTCAATTGCCTCACCCTTCATAATTTGTACCTCCCGAGGCAATAACCTTGGACAGCTACATCTTAACTTCTTCAACATTCGAGTCGAAGTGTCTGCTATGTTGAATCTTTAAAAGTTTATTCTCAACGTTCTTAAGTAGCATATTACTCATCACATTCTACAAATTAATCTTTTTCATAAACGATTTTCCCGGCTATTTCAAAATTATTTTTTATGGAATCTCTCGCGTTTAGTATCAAAGGACCTTTGGAGAGATTTTCGCTTATGGCTTTCTGGGTTGTCTTCTCGTTTTAGTGACCAGCAATAGTCAGCTAATATATGTTCATCCCACCGACCTTGGTAGTGCATTTCTTGTTGATACAAATCCTGGTGAAATCTTTCGCCCATATCTTCGCTGTACGCTCCAAGATTTTCAGGGAAATAGTCCAAGTGACATTTGAGAAAATGCAATTTGAGACTCATATTGCATTGCAATATTCGATAGTGTTCTAGCATATCAGACACAATTTTTTTATAATGAGGATCCTTCTTGTTTCCTAAAAATCCTTGCACTGTATTCTTAAAACCTAACCAAGCATTTTTTTCAATGGGCGTCATTGTTTTTATAAATTCATCATCGTTTATGAGCTTTCTAATATCAGGACCCACAAAAATACCTTCCGATACTTTTGCATCACTCAAATTAGGAAATGTAGACCTAATGTACTTAAAACAGTCACCTTCTTGATTTAACTTTTTCACAAACTGCTTTATGAGACCTAATTTGATATGCAATGGTGGTAATAATATATTTTTTCTGTCAATAAGAGATTTTTCAACCACATTGTACTCCCCAACTTTCCACTCACGTCTTTTTGGCCACTTCTCTTGTTTCCACTGCAGTTCCTGTTTTGCACGGCTATCCCAAAGGCAAAGAAAGCAAGGGTATTTAACGTTACCCGATTTCAAACCTACTATAAGGTTGATCATTTTAAAGTCACCACAAAAGAAGCCAGTCGTGATCATTATACTTTATTTTTTCCAAAAGTAATTGGAAATTCATGTAAGATTCCTTGCGTACAGTAGAGTGGCCTACCGGAAGTGCAGCATATGTATTTCCATTATTTAACAGAACTGCTTTCAGGCTTTTCACTGAGGAATCTATGAAAAGACGCCAATCTTCTGGCTTATATATACCACTTTGATATAAATTCATAAGTTCTCTAATGTCATTACAAAAAACTATTCCATCTTCTTTTGAAAAAAATTTAAGAAACTCTTTTTCTCTTTTTCTGTAAACAGTAACTTTAGTACCGGATGACAGTAGGTTCCTTTCTTTAAGCCTGGAGGCAAGAAGCTCAGCTTTGTCTTTCGGTAGGTTTAGATCGCGAATAAGATCATTCAATGCATTTTGGTCAAACAATTTAGGACTTTCATCATTCGAAATCCTTCCTAGATTCAAAAGGAAATTCTCCAGTCTCATCTGTTTCCTCGGTATCCATTGATACCGGGTCAGATTCATCGACTCTTTTCTCAGAACCTCTCATAGTTCCTACTTCTGCTGGTGTTACGCTGTTTACAAAAGGATATTCTATTTTGTACAAATATTGTTTTTTGAAACCTGTTGTATCGCATAAACAAAAGTAGCAATCTGTTGTATGATCTCTTGGCTCGCGCCATATAGCTGGCCGAATGACGACATCTGTCATTGTATCTTTTCCATTCCATTTCATCAAAAATTGTCTACACGTATTGCAAATTGACTTAGGTTCCCATGTTTTATCTAAACTCGTCATCTGTTGCCCGTAGCAATTATTGTATAATGTCTGTATAGAGTTATTGGTCTACGGTATTTTTCCGAATCATATTTTCCACATATATAACAAAATGTGTTTACTTTATTAAAACAAGAAACTCGCGAACTCATTGTAAATAGTAAATTAAATAATAACATAATAATTAAATGTATCTTTCGGTAATTTGTCTTACGGAATGATGAACTTTGACAATTACCATTCACACAGAATCAACAAGTTAGCCGGATCTCCAACACGAGAAAATATATTGGACCAACTACGTATTCAAAGAGACCTTTTCCACAATTTTTAATCACACACTCGCACTTATAAATAAATTTCTAATGAAGAGAAAATGTTGGTAAAAAACTATACCAATATCAATCTCACGTATGCATCTAACCGTTAGCCCGCCACTCAAACGTGATCTCTAACACGGAAGGAACTAAAAAAACATAAAATTTCTTTAGCCT